TTGATGTAGTTCTGGTTTGCATAGTGCAATGAATCACAGGACTGATGTTGGGACATAGATTAGAAAGAACACTGTATTATGCAAAACAGCATACTTTCCTCAAGGAATACAGAGGATATAGAAGTCTATCTCCATCACAATCCAGGTGGCTGGAGGACTTCCAGCCACCTGTATTAGCTTAGCCAAATGTTTAAGGATTGTTTCCATTTGAAATACATAATCCCTACTTTAAATTCTCCCCCAGAGATTATCAGAGTTTTCTTAAAAGTTCTAGGCCAAAACAGGATGAAAGAGAACATTTCTAAAATGTCAAGTAGAAAATGACTCTGATAGTGCATTAGAGCTTCAGGAATGCCCTGAGAGTGGTGAGAAAATCCAAAAGGAGCAAACAAAGGACATTCAAACAAATATAACCCACTTAGTCTGAAGAGGAACCTGACAAGAAAATGGGTTTAGACCAGCTGGAAGCAGTCAAAATAAAACCAAACAAACTTGGAAGAAACAGAAAAAAAAAAGGGGGGGGGTTTAAAAAATCATGAAGAATATTTCCCATTAAACCCCCACCCCCTGCTGGGAGAGGCAGAGGTAATGATCTCAAGATCTATTGTTATTGTGAGAGTGTTTCTGATATCAAACAAAGCACAGGATGAAATAACAGATGAGTCGAAAATCCATAACACAGATGGGAGAAACTGAGCAGTCACAGCCAAATGGGAGATAGCTTCAAAGACAAAAATGAGGTGGTTAACCAAAGCAAAGCAGAGGAGGCAGTTTAAGGTGGTAGCTCCTGGGCCAAGAGTGCACGTACAAACATGATCTGACTTCAGCAGAGTTCCCCTGAGAGCCCCAGACACCCTAGGATCCCAAGGCATGGGAGGATATTCCTGAGTGATGAAATGGCAAGTGAGTATTCACTTGCAGGCCAACCTGATAGCAACAACAAAGAAGTCTTCATAAGTGCCAGCCATATGACCTCCAGGATCCAAGATGAGTTCACACCTAGAAACCCTGCACTACCAAGACCAGAGCCATCTATATTTGTCCTAAAGAGCAAAATGGGTTTGGGTTCTTTGTCAGGAGATGGAAATACTCAATCCTTGCTGTTGTAATTGTTGTGCATGCTGGGAATATCACCTGGCATCCTTTACCTCTTAAGTGGAGCCCTGAGGATCTACTGCTGGAAATAAGCTTGCCTCACCCAACAATGGTTTTCCCTCACTAAATATGAAGGCTAATATAAACTGGCCCTCATTTCCCCCTTTTCTCTTGTCTGCTGGGAATTTCAGAAGACAAGCACATGGATGAGTTTGTATTGTTTCTCAGCCAAAGCTCTGCCCGGGCTTTGCCTTTGCTTCCATCCCTAGAGCTTCTAAGCACTTTCTATCAAGCCCCAAAGAATTCTTTGTTAAAACAACACCATGGGTGAGAAAGTTTAACATTTCTCAAGCTCATCAGCTATGTGTAGCTCTGGTTTGTGAGCAGTGAGATGGCTCACAGGAGTGGTACTGAGACATTTACTGGAAGGTGGTCTGGTAAAGCTCCATGCCATCCTACAACTGAGAAGGTTCCCAGCTACCCAGACATCCAACCGAGGCTGCATACTGCTACCTAAGCTTTCCTCCATCTGTTCTTTTCCATCACTAAAGTCAAGAGAACAATTCAGGAGGGGTGGGCACAGTGGCTCTCAGTGAGGTAGAAGCTCAGGCAGGCCTTTGATTGTGAAACAACATAGCAAGCACACCCTGGGGGCAAGAAGAGAAAGAAAGAGGGTGTGGGAAGATGGGCAAAGGGGGAGCAGAGATAGGTTTTTTTTTAAAGTGGCATTCAAAGTATAAACAAGATATAGTCTCAAAAGAAATGGGGATCAACTAAAAGAAACTTTCCTATATGATTGTTCCACTTTCACAAAATATGAGATCAATTTTAAAAAGTTCATTTTAAACAAAACAAAATAAGAGCATCAGACACAGTGTATACTCAGGAAATAAATCAACGTAAAGTCAAGACAAACAAGTATCTTAGAAAGATACAAGGCTCACATGCATGTAGGTAAAGGCATTAAAAACACAGAGAGAGAGGAATTGGGTAGGTGACCAAGTAAGTGGTTTTGCTCTGAAAGCATGAGAATCTGGGTTTGAATCCAAGCATCTCCATAAAAACATGGGCATCTCTGCACATGGCTATGAGGCCAGAATTGTGGGCAAAGACAGGTATATCACAGTAGCTGCTATCCAGCCAGAAGGGAAGGTTTAGGTTCTATGAGAGACACTGTCTCAAGACAAGAAAGTGGAGAGCAATAGAGGAAGACATGTACTCTGGCCTCTGTACACACAGGGGTCTGTGTTCAGATTAATGCACCACACATATATCACACATATCATATGCACATAATATACACACCATATTCATAAACATCATACAATACAGCCACAAGCATACCTCATACAAACATGCCATATACATATATGCTATATACACACAGCACATAAATACAAGAAAAATGGAGATGTTAATAAATGGAAGCAATTTAAGAAGTAGACAGTTTGTGGTCAGGTGGCACAGAACTGAACACATCATGCAGAAACCATAAAACCCCTATAGTAAATATTTTTCTATTGCTATGAAGAGACACCATGATCAAGGTAGCTTATAAAAGAGAGAGTTTATTGGGGCTCATGGTTCTAGAAAGTTAGAGTCCTTGATCATCATGGTGGGCAACATGCCATCAGGCAGGCATGGAGCAGTAGCTGAAAGCATATCCTGATCCCCAGCATGAGGCAGAGGGATGAGGGAAGGAAAGCAGGGAGGGAGAGGGAGAAATTGAGGGAGCAAAGAGCTGTGAATCCTCCTCTGACTTACCACCTCTAATAAAGCCACACCACCCAAACCTTCCCAAACTGTTCTACCAATTAGGGACCACCTATGGTGGCCATTTTCATTCAAACCATCATCACCCCAGGCAAATCAATCAATGCCAAGAGGAGACATATCCTGGTTAAGTTACTACAATTCAAGACTAAAAAGGAATGCTTCTGGCCTTTAGGCAAAAGTCACTTTTAGAAGAGATAAATGAACAATTCTTAATACATTTTCATGACATCATTCAATGTTAAAAGAAAGTCTATGAAGTCCCGAGTAAGTCCCAAGTCCTTAAGCCTAGACAGCCTGTCCTGTTAACATTACAAAGGTAACTATAGACAGTTCATGTTAAAGCATTTATGGCTGTCCTGTGTTTCTTACCCATTAAACACAACCAAGAACTGAGGGATGGGGATGCTATTTTAAGAAATGTAATAAATCTGAATATAGATTTGCCTTTTTCAAAATAGAAACTAAGGGTTGCATCCCACAACTAGGTAACAACACAGGTGACTAAATTTGGAATGTGGATGAATCACAGAGGAAGGAGTACATATGGAATGTACGGATGTTCTTTCCCTACTGCAACTCCTTAGTCTGCTCAGTGGGATACTTGAATATGATTAAAGGACATTATAATTCCAATCATAGCTTGTTCTGTGAGTAACTTTTAAACATGAGAAAGACCTTTTATGAATTAATATCTTTACAGCATGAAGAGAAATTTGCTAGAAACCCAGCATACTAAAAAAAGTTTAAATACAGATTTAAGGAGGTAAAATTTAATGCATTAAAAATGGAATATGTAAGATATCTCATGCCTATTAAATTATTCATATCTAGTAAACTATCCTTTTTATCACATATATGTTAAGGAAAGTCATGTGAAATGGATCGAATTAATGTAAATAGTGTTCAGTTGTGGATTGCTTTAAAATAACTTATTCCTTGTTTTGTTCACAATGATCAAACATCTTGTAGTAGCCAAATAATCTATTCTGTAAGTGAAATGTTCATTTTAAATTAGAAACCCCAAAATGGTCTTTCATCGTTTCAAACCATTTTATTCAATACTATATGTGTGTAGACTCAGTCTCGGCTACAATGCCCACTCCTCTGGGAATTTTTCTTTGTGTGCACTATCCTTTGCAGCCCCTGGCTTTCAGATATGGCCTCCATCTTCCATTCCCAGATGACTTTAATGGTCTCTTCAAAGATGATTTGATCCTGATACAAATAACTTAATTACAAAAGGATGCCTCTTGTGCTCTTAAGCTAGAATATTGAAAGCTGCCACAGAGATTCTTCTACTGAACACCATTGACTTTTTAATAATCTGAACTTAATAATAAAAACTCCCAAAAAGTAGCCAAATCTTTCAGGATTTATAACTCAATAAAATAAGCTGGCTTCCTTAAAACAAGGTAAGTAAATTATTTAGCTGGTTAATCTCAGCCTATATGCGGATTCCATACATAAAACTTAATGAGACCCACTGTTGCTCAGTAGATGGTTTCCAGTCACAGGTGCATCAGCTTCACCAATGCACCCTGGAATAAAGGTCTACTTACTGAGTGCCTATAACATTGAGTACCTAAAGCCTTCCTGCAATAGTTTTAATTCAGTCTCTTAGGGTATGTAGCTTAGAATAAGAAATAGGCTGTGATTCAATACCCTCCAGAAGCAGTTGGAATAGGACAGCAAATGAAGCTAGTCTTCTGCTGAGCCAGAGCCTCTTTCTTGTCCAGAGTCATCAGTGAAGTGGGTTTTGTCACCACCAGCCAGCTCCTACTTGTTCCTGATGATTTTGAACCTCATTTGCTTGCTTCTGAGAATTTAACGTTTGGCTTCGGAGCCTAGGATCAAGTCAGAACTGAAGGTGACATGCTGCACTGTTTTATCAAATCAGAATGAAGGTGACATGTGCAGTGCTGTGGATAGCCTATCCTTCCTAGACTTATCTTCTAAGGAAAACACATTTAAACAAAGATTTTCTAATTGCTTTAGGGAAAGGCAGATACAAATGGCAAACTTTGTATGAATAAAACTGAGTGGAGTGCAGGAAAAGGAGCCTTTGTGCATGGTAGGGGAAATGAAGACACTGACAACAAATAAGCAGGGTTCCCTGCAAACAAACAAACCTGAAGTTCTGCATGAAGTGCCGGAACTTGTCCACCCTCCTCGCTAGGGGCACAATAACATTGATAAGCGTGTTGGCCATACTGAGTTTTTCCTTTTTCACTTTCATAATGGGGCCAAAGGGTCGAAATAGGACAAGCCGTTGGAATTCATGTTTGTAGTCCCCTTTGAAGGTGAGCTCATACAAAGTGCCTTTATCCCTTTCTGTTCGGTAGATCCCTACAAAACAAAACAAGGAAAGGTGATTTCAGCAAACTGAGCTTTGACTGTTTAGTATCCTTCTATAACCAAGATCTACCACAAATGCTTTTGAAATTAATATTAGAGCTCCATATACCAAGATTTAAAAACCTCAAAATATAATTAATATTCAAAAAACCCAATCAGTTTAAAAGTCAGTTATGATACCCTCATAAAGCAATAAGAAATTCTTGTAATATTAGATACAAAGTTACATGTTTAGAATCATTGGAAAAAGACTATTTGGAATGTAGAATAAGTCTGATATAATATAGATTAGGATATGTTCTTTACTGCTATTGTATACATTTTATAATAGCATTATAATATGGGCATTCTTGTTTACTTAACTTAAAACTATGTTAAAATTATTTCTTTGCAATTATATTCATTTCTGATGAAGCAGCTATAGTGATTTATAGGGGCATCTTTGAAGAAAGCAGGGATAGAAACATGTGCCCCTCCTACCCCAAAGCTCCCAGAAGCATTAAGACAATATTCAAATATCCAGTGTGATGGCAGGCATACATCATATTTAGTCTCACATCTTCCTGCCTCTAATCATTGTGATTAAAAACCTCAGAATATGTTTTGTTTAAGATCAAAAGTCTATGTTAAAGTTCTGGCCCCATGGTTGTACTTGGAAAACTGTTTTATCTTTGATGGGGGATGTTCATATGTGTGTGTGTGTGTGTGTGTGTGTGTGTGTGTGTGTGTGTGTGTGTAGTAGTAGCCAGGCAGAAAGTATAGGCAGGGCTACCAGATGAGGAGAATGCTGGGTAGAGGAAAGAAAGAAATGTCCAGAGGGGATGCCATGTAGACACTGGAAAGATCAGACATGCTGGGCATTCTCTGGTAAGACAAGGCCATATATAAATACATAGATTAGTAGTTATGGGTTAATAATTAAGAGAGAGAGCTAGTCAGTAAGACGTCTGAGCCATCAGCCAAAGGTTATAATTAATAGATGCCTCTGTGTATCCATTTGGGGTCAAATGGCTGAAGGACCAGGTGGGAAAGAAATTCCAGCTACAAATGTTGCCTACATCTTTCCATACATCATTTACCTCACAGAATTAACAATTTCTTAGTGGCATAATCCACAGACTAATACAAGAAGATGACAAGCTGAAGGCTTGCCCAGGCCTCAGAGTTCAAGGCCAGCATTCATTACTTAGAGAATCACTCATGTGGCTTAGTGATAGAGTGCATGCTTCACATATGCCAGGCCCTGTGTTCAACCTCCAGCACCACTACCACCACCAGAAAGCTGGAGTGTTTACCAATAAATCCCCACAGTGCTTGGCATATAGTAAAGCATACATGCCATGCCCCCTCATTTTTATCTTCCCTGTTCCTGTCAGTTCTTGTGAAACATGTTACATTAGGAAGGAAGCAGAACAGGGAGAAGTTTATTCATATTGCCTTCAATCTGTGTTGAGTCACACGCCACTGAGTGTCAACTGTCAGGCTGAAGGTGCAGCTTTGCCATCTCACTTCATTCTTAGGAGGATACTCATTAAGGTCTACCTGATTGAACAGCCACATGTAAAAACCAAACAACTCTCTAAGCCCACTTTTTTTCCCTGGGATCACCAACAGTGTGGGTGTTTTTTTCTTAAAGGTAGGCAAAAGTTAGTAACATCCACCAAATTAGGAGAGAAGCCTTTATCTTTGATTTATGCCATAGTTCCCATTCCACATCTTCATCTTATTCTTAATGCCTACATTAGCTGAAAATGTACCTCCTTGTCTCTGATTAGCTACAGAAATAAATCTCTGAGGGAATGTTCCAGCTGATGGTGAGGACTCTTGAGAGCATCTCACAAGCCATTTCTCTTTTCTTCCTCACTCTCCTGCCTTGTTACTTTTGTGGTTAATGCACATCTTCTTTATACACAATCTCTTGTCTGTGTTTTGACTTTGGGGGGGCTTTTTCATCCTAGAGATCTGGTCTTGTAGCCTCTTTGATTTCACCCAAAGTTTAGAGGTCTCTCTGAGGTGTAGCAAAGAGTCTGTGAATTTTCAGTGTGGCCTCATTTCTCACAGTCATCCAATGAGCCTGATTAAGATTCCAAAAGCACAGGGCATTGGCAGTGAGCAAGGGTGACTGGAGGAATCAGTTCTCTTCTGAAACCTTGGCCGCTTCCTGGGGTATCACAATGGGACATCCTGCTCTGCGACCCACAATGTCAGGGAATCCAGCAGAATAGCCGAGCTCCTGCTAGGAAAGAACTTCTGCAGCCAGTCAAAGAAGGGAGGAATAGATTTATTCCTTTTAAGGCACAAAGGACATCTTTGGAAATATCAAATAATGCCTTCAAAGTCTGTTAATCCCTTTAGGTAATCAGTCCCAAGTGAGGAAATGGCCTCTAATGATGTCTAAGCAGTTGGCTAGATACAACCTCTTTATACAGACTAAATGAAGCCCAGCAGAATCACACAACAGTCCAGTTGTCACAGAGGTATATCTACACACTTCAGTGGACCTTGAGGTTGGTTGCTGAGCCTTGACAAATGCTTTTGTTATTGGTGTCAGCAGTATAGATTCATCAGTCAGTTGTAAATCTGGGGAAATCTGTTTTCATTTTAACTTGCAAATAAAAGCATACAGGGGAGTAGAGGTCCTGGAAGCTAGTATATTGCTTGCAAGAAGAATTAAGTTTGATCACCAGAAATCATATAAAAAAGACAGGTGGCTGCCCAGCTTAGATCACCCCACTTACATATGATAAACCTGACCTTAGAAACCCCCCCAACTACATTTATCTTAAATATAAATTCTTTAAAATCCTCCTCAAACTTAGATCCACAAAACTGAGATTTACACTTGCCACCCAGGAACTGTCACCAAGACCATTGCACAGCTGCAATAAAGGTACTACAGCCTGCCTTGTGTCAACCCAGAGGACAACAGCTAAGGAGTATTTCTTCTGTGGAAACTTCAGTAATCAAAGCACAAAGAATCATAGAGAAAGAGGACATGAACACCCAGAGGCATGAATGGTTTTGGCATGACACATAGCTAACACAGAACAAAGGGCCACACAAACACCTTTCTTACACAGACAGGCCAGGCATTCTTAATTGGAAAACTGAAAATGTGAAACTTAGGTACAAACAATGCTCATAAATTTTGTTCTTTAAACCATTTTAGATTTAATATTTTCTGATTAAGTTGGTAAAATGTCAGCAAATATTCCAAGATCTAAAATCCTCCAAAGGAGGTAGATGGTGGTGGTGGGGGGGAGGGAACTGGAGGAGAGGAGTGAGTGGAAACTGTAGTCACTATGTAAAATAAATTTTAAAATGTCAATTAAATAAAAATATTTTAACAATGAAAAAAGTCCCCCCAAATCTGAACCATGTCTGTTGACAGTGTTCTAGACAAAAGATATACCACTTATAGGCTGTCATAACATAGTAACTTATTATTATGTAAATTATGCATAAAAAAGACCTTTGTAGCTCCAGCTCAGATCTTGTGTAAATACACCTCTGGTGCCTGCAGTCCATTCCTTACTTTGAGTCTGGTGTTTCAGTTCGCTGTGCAAACACCCTAAGGAACTTTTATTCTTACTCAGGACCCAGATCTGTAGCCCTCAGCTAAGAGGGTGCTCCCTATGAAACAGCTCCATCACTGCTGCCTGTGCTCTCCCTCTTCCCCCTCTTTCCCCTTCCTCCATCATGGGAATGAAACCCACAACTCACTGATGCAGAGTAAGTAACATCCTGATGATGGGGGATGCCCTTCTGTGTATATGTATCTCTTATTGTTTGATGAATAAAGCACTGTGGAGGGAGTAGGGGATGAAGAGAATTCTGGGAAAGATAGGCGGAGAGAGTGCAGTACAGACAGAGACACCATGTAGTTGCCAAGAGGAGTAGAGGATCTGGATCCTTCTCTGGTAAGCCAAGACCATGTGGAAAAGCATAGATTAACAGATATGGGTTAATAATTAAGACAGCTATCCAATATGAAGCTCTAGTCATTGGCCAACAGTTTTATAATTAATATAAGTCTTTGCTTGCTTATTTGGGCTGAAATGGCAACAGGACCTGGTGGGACAAGAACCTACAGCAACATTTTATCATCCACCCATACTCTCAGCCCTACTGCAAAGATATTCCTTCCTAGGCCAGGAACCACCTGACTAACTGGTTCTCTCCCATCTCTGTGTGCTATAGTTACCTTGAAAATCAAAATGACAAACGATAAGGGATGTAAATCTTGCTATCACTCCATATAAGTATACTTAAGATGACCAATGTTGAATGGCTGACTGAACCCATGCACAATTCTTCAAACCCCTCACCAGCAAAACACTTTCCTCATTCTCAAGAATCTTATTCAATTTCTCCTTGTTCATTCCTACCTTTCCATCCCCCCTACCTGGAGTCCAGAACCTAGGACTTTCACTTAGAACCAGATGTCTAGCCTAGATAGCTAGATGTAATCAAATGCTGACCAGTGTCCCAGCCTCCAGGTCTCAACTCACATTAAATGCATAATTTGGTTCTTAAGCTGCCTATAGGACCATATAATTTTGCCCTTGCCTCACCAGCTTCCTATACCCTGCAGAATAGGCACCAGAACCATATCCTAGATTCAAGACTCTCCATACTGTCACCAATATGCTGTCATAATTGAACATTTTGTCATTGCCTCAGGTGCAGTCTGGGCTACAGTCAAGCTGATTTAGATAGAAGACATGTAGCCACTTGTCCTTATGGTGAATCTAGAAGGAACCAGGTAATTCTCAGTGGGAATATAAAATGGTACATATACTGTGAGAAAACGTTCGGAAATCCCTCAAATGAGTTAAATGCATGTTCACAGCCATATGATTTACAACAGCTAAGAGAGTCAACACAAGTGTCCATTCAGAGATGGACAAGGAAAACATAGTATATGCATACAAGGCAATATTATTCAATATAAAACAGGAATATAATTTGATATGTCCTACTAGGGTAGA